GCAAACTATAACGCCTGATTATGAGCTGACTGAACTGCACGTTTGCACACTGCTAGTCCCAGCAGATCCCAGACTAGTCTCGTGTGGAAAACGAGTAGTAAAACAACACAATGACCATAAATGAGGAAAAGTGTTTTTTTGCTTTCACAGTGGATATTTTACGTAAAGGTTTGTGTGTCACTAAACCTCAATGACTGCAAACATGTAGGATAAGAAATGTTTTCATTACACTTCAGACAGACAATCACAAGCTCTTCGGTTCCAATTTAACTTTGTATAAAGCAGAAATGTAAGAATAAAAGTTTACCTTCCCTCAGTGTATGTCTTCCTCACTTCAGGCACGAGGGACATTTTTTCTGGATTCTTCTTTTTGAACATGACTGACGTCTTGGAGAATAATCAGATAAAATGCCCAGACTAAAACAAAAACATGCTAAAAACAACTTAGATTTAATAATTAATACTTCAGAGAAATCTTTAGTTTTGTTTGTCCAAACTAAATTTCTATTTCTTGTTGTGAGCTCCTTTAGGTCCCTTTAAAAGTGTTTAACAGCGGATGCACATCCTCGAAAATCAGTCTGGGTGCAAACAACCAAATATGTGATGCAGCCTTGTGATCCCCACCGGGTGCACCGTGTGCAAATTCACGGCCGCCTGCAACGCCTCTGTGGCCGAGTGATGAGAGACAAGGTGACGCCCTGCAGCGATCCAAGAAGTTAAATAGAAGTTTAAAATATACCAAATATCTCAGCAAAAGGTTGGTGAGGGTGGCAGGAGACGGGCACATAAACAGGTTGTCAAGTTCATGTTTTACTGACAATAGCCCCAAAAGTTAAAGATAAATTCACAATTTCAGTAATTAATTGGTTGAGTTAGCACTGCCTATCAACACCGGGAGGGGTAGGCTTATTTTGCTGAAAAAACAACCAAGCTCATTGAGAACCCCGCCCACCTCCCTTGGCCAGCCGGCACTCCATGATTATACAATCCAACTAAGTGCCGTGCGCTCTTTCCCTTGTGTATTATCACATGATCGTTCATTTCTGATTCCAGGCTTCTGTCTAAATGACCCTACTCCGTCTCAGTTTAGATAACAATCTTCAGGTTATTTTTATTTATTTTTTTGAGTTTTTTAAAGTTAAAACGGAAAGAAGAAAAGAAAAGACAAAGAAAGGAGAATAAAAATATAGGAAGCCTACAAATACAATATAGGTCGGCCTTTATAAATCATATACAATAAGAATACAGGCGTTTAATGCCATTATTTTGTGCTCATACTATTTTTAAATCGAAAAATGTTACCTAAAGCTGTGAGTAACCTGATTCCATCTGTGTAAAGTGGATTTTGCTGGCCTTAATGCTTAATTGTGAGTTTTTGTTTTGTTTGACAGTTCACATTATTGCTTAAATGTGGCCCACATCAGACTGTCCGCGGCCTGAAAGTGACCCGCATGCGCAGAAGAATAACACGACGTCACACGCAGCACGCTGTTGCAGGCTACAGAGTAAACCGAGGCATAGAGGTCAGGTGTCGTTCCGAAAACTGATGTTTGGTAGGCCTATGTGTAATATCTTTGTTTATATTTGGAAAACGGACTGTAGCCTAATTAACATGACTTACTGCCAACTTAGATATAAAATGAAAACAATTTTGTAATTATCCTTATTGCTCTGCATTATTTTACTTGCTGAGTAGGCCTACCAACCAAGTTATTGACCGAAAGGTTATTTCTGCCCTGAAATTAGTTGATTTCATTCAGAAGAGTTATATTTGACAGATTATAGCTCATTTAGTAGCTACTTTTTACCTCTTAAAATACCTTTAAATGGCTAATACAACCCATAAAATGCAGTAGGCTATTTCACTTGCCAGAAAGTGATTGAAGAGACTGGACAATACAGCTCTAGCAGACGGCAATCAGTTTTCGGCAGACGATCACTTTTCGGCACGATACCTGTCAGCTCCCGTGTTTCATTGTCCTCTCCCGGGTCACATTTCTCCCAAATTATGACAAGTGCTCACAACTCTCTGTTCTTTTCTTTACGGTTTCTGGCGCTGCACAACGCTACTGCCACAACTCACTCCCTCTCCCTCTCCCACTGTGTCTGCTCTGACAAATGGCATGCTCACAACTCAGAAGAGAGCTCGTGGTCTGGTGGATTTCAGGTGTAAGAAAAGGAATCTGTGAGCAGATTATAGCAAGGTAGAGGAGAAAGAGAGACACATGTTTAATAATGGCTTTTTGTGGAGGTTTTACGTTCACCGCGGCTCTGTCTTCAGCAGGACTGTGACACAGAAATTACACCATAGACAACAGCTGCTCTAGAGTGACGTCAAAGTCGCATCAATTCCAACCTGAGAGTCCAGACTCAGGTCGCATTTGAAAAGATCCGATCTGTATCGGATTTCGACCACAATGGAAGTGGCCCAATTCAGAACTGGAAAATATCAGATTCGCAGTGGTCTGGACGTGGCCATAGTGTCTCCTATTAATGTAGGCTAGAAGATCACTAATTGGACTCCTTGTTAATCTGACTAAACACCTGTACCTGAAGACATGCGTTTGTTTGACATCACAAGGAAACGAATCCTGGTCCTATATGAAACTTGAGATTTTAAAACCTGAAAAGAATTTACTTTTCTGTTAAGTGGAAGACATCTTGTGTTCCAAACTTAAAAAATATTTTAGGTGTATTTTTAATTTATTTTTAACTAGGACATTAAACTTTTGTAGACAAACCAAATCAGATACATCAGTATATTTCTTATTGTATTAAACACATCTGGAGGGGATCTTGGGATGTATATTTCATAGGCCTACTTCCAGCTTAAAGAACCATACCAGAGGTTTTTAAATAGCATGTTGAGATGATACAACCAATACTATTTAACAGTGCTCAACATGCCAGAACACGGCATGTTACATGTTATGTAATTGTAATGTTTACCCAGCTTAGGCTACAGGGAAATTTGCTGAATGAATGAATGGTCTGTGGAAAGTATATATTGATAAAAGACAAATACCAGTTGTTAACGTTTGGTTTCAAAATATACCACAAGGTGGCGACAATGAACCATTTACAGCAAGTGTTTGCAGTCCCATGTCCTAGACATCTGTCCCGGGAAGAGGGAACTGATACAGAATTTTTTGTATTTTTCAGGTTGAAGGTCTTTAACATCCAGGATGCTTAATATATAATTATCATCATTTCTCATTTGTATATTTGTCTATTTATATTTGTTTGGGTACAACTCTCCTCTGTATGTTTTTGTGTCATGGTCCTCATATCCATTATGCTTGGTATTGTGTATCCTACATTTAATACACGGTCATCTCTATTATGTTTCTGCTCAGTGACTGAGGCTACAAATGCCGTTGTGTTTGACATTGGTTTAAGCTACATGCTTATGATATACTTATGATTACCTGACCATTACTTGCCCTTTATGTGCTCCCCTCAAGTAAAGTGGTCCATGGTTTCATGGCACAACTTAGTAGACTGTCTATTTATAGAACTTAACAGCTGTTGAGGGAATTTGATGTGGATTCACAATGCTAATAAAATGCAGCAATTTCATAAAATGACATGTCTGTTACAAATCAGGCCTTTATGTCATCAGCCATATAAAAATATCTGATAAAAGCTTTATTAACAATCCTATAAACATGTTACAAGGACAGTTATCACGTAGACTCTGGAGGAATATCAGCTGTAATTGTACAACTATAACACCATTATTCCTGATCACACGTAATTTACTTTGTCACAATTGTTAAAACCCCTGTCCAGGGTGTACCCCGCCTTTCGCTCAATGTCAGCTGGGATTGGTTCCATCCCCCCGCGACCCTGTACACAGGATAAGCGGTTGACGATGGATGGATGGATGGACAACTGTGTCTGTACATTGTAAATAATTTAACTGTAATCAGGGTAAGTAAAAGTCAAGAGAAATTAATCAGTCCTAGTTTTATGCTGCTCAGTTGCTGAACTACTACTGAAGGTGTTGTCAGGATGTTGATTCAAAGTTTTTTTTAGCTAATTGTTATGTAACGGCTTCTGATTATAATAGTATCTCTCAGTCTGTGTTCTAATAACTCTCCATCTATTCAGTCCTCGATTCTGAGACATTCAAGAACTACTTATTAATTAATTATCAGGCCGTTCCTGATTCGTTCCTCACTCGTTCCTCACTCGTTCTATAGTAATTTCTCACAATTTTGTGTACCATAGTGTAAAGTGTTGCCCTTTTCATTCAATAACAATGGTGATATGGAGAATGACAGAACATGAAAAGAGAGCCTTTTGCACAAATATAAATGTCAATTCATTCACAAGGCAACTGGTGACGTTACAGCACATACACCTTACATCAGTGCCCTGCCCTTTTTGAAAGCAGCATTAAGACCATGAGATAATGAGAAATGCAGCTTTTTTTATTCCTTTTGAGAGTCGTGATGTTTGTTTTCTTGAATAGGTCTAAAAGTGGAGTGAGTTTGACTCTAAAAATAGGTTTCAGTGTGTGGGGCTATTTTGGTCGATGCCGTCTGTGGACTACCAAAAAGTGGGCCTGTGTTTGGTTTGCCAAGGCAGCTTGTATGTGTGTGTGTGAATAGATGGTGCAGTTGGGTTGCTAGGGGCTGCAGAGTGAAGGGGAAATGGCACGAGAATGGTTAGTTACACATGGCTGTTCACCGTGTTCTTAAGATCCTGGCCCTGCAACGGGTCACTCACCAGATCATGATAGCTCTACTTACACTGCAGGGCTGCGTGTGCACATTTGTGTATCTGCAAGTGCATCCTCTTTAGAGGGCTGCGTGTGCATGTGTCTGCAAGTGCATCCTCTTTAAACAGGCAAAACAACACACCAGGACCACTGCAAGTCCAGGCATTTTATACACAACTTTTGTCGCCGTGGAAACCGCCCGCCTCCTCCCCACCCTCTCCATCCTAATGATCGCTGCATGTATGTGTGTGTGCGTCTGATAAAAGGCCCCAAAAGTGGTAAACAGCTCCTGGTCAGGCATCTGGACAATGCATCGACGTCAGACCTGCTCTCTCACATTCACACTCCAGTGACGCCGGTTCACTTTGCCAAGGAGCTGCATGGGGTGTAATGTTTGAGAGACAGACAGCAAGAAAAGAGAGAGCGCAGGGTGGTGGGGGCGTAGGAGTGTGGATGAAAGAGAGAGTGAGTTCCTCATAAGTCGTCAGGACTGCAAGGGATCTCATAACAGAAGAGACGGAGAGATCAGACGAGGCTACATCTGCAATACAGCTGACAACAACTCAAGACACAGAAGAGGGTCTAGAAGGAACCCAGTGAGACAAATTGAGGATATCACTGACCTAACATGATGGAAGTGGTCCTAACCAGACTGCGGGACTTCTCCTGCAAGACCTCCACCTTCGATGACAGTAAACCAGCAGGGCAGAGTGCATGCAGGGATCCTCGGAGCAGGACTGACTGCCTCAGTGAAGGGCGCACAGCGGGATGGGAAGGCAGAAAACTGGACATAGAGAGTGCACTGGCCTGGCTGCGAAGGGAACTGGTAAGACCAGCACCTCTCACTCTTCTTTCTACATGTCCATATCACTGTATTATTCAGTAGCAAGTACATTTACTCAAGTACTGTATAAATTCGAGGTGTAACTTTATATGTGTACTTTGCTTAGTTAGTTAAATATAGTACTTTTTACTTCACTACATTTATGTAGAAGCTATAGTCAGATTGATTTTACATACAAACACTAAATTATAAATATGATGCATTATTATATATTAAAGGCCCTCCATACCCATCATGTTGGAGGTGTGCACAGCTATGTAGTATACTGGGACTCAGAGCCCTGAAGTTAAGAAAAAATATTGTTTTTCACTATTTCAAAATAATAAATAACTTGTGTGCTAAAATAATTATCTTGTAAGAAAAAACATTCACTTCCAGGACCTTCGGGCCTGTGAAGCATAATGAGTACTTTTACTTTTGATAGTGAGTCTATGTAACTTTTAAAAGAAGATCTCACTATTCATGAGCATTTAAACGCACCCTCACTCAGTTCTATAACACTCACTTGCTGCCACAGATTTACTTGGTATGGTACGTCCAGTAGCTTATAGCAGCTAATTTTAGATAATGTTAAACTTTGAAATTTCTATGTATGTAACAAACATCAGTGAGTCAGTTCACTAACATTGATGATTTTCTCTACTTGTGCCACTGTTATGTCATACTTTAGCATTATGTCGTAGTTGTCACGTAGTAAATACAATTCATAATTAAACATTGTATGTCTCTAGAAAAACACCATAACAAAAAAAAAACACTGCAGCAGCCACAGTGAGAGATAAAGTCAAACTTGTTCAGCAGACTCTGGGTAAACAGCAAAAGGCTATAGGACATTTATGTGGAGCAGAGTATTTTTATATTGTGGTGTAGTTTGTAAAGCATCTGAATATTTCTTCCACCACTGCTTCTGAGTCAATTTTTGTAATCTCCAGAGTTAAGAGCAGACTTGTAAGTTTCAGTGTTGAATTGAATCTTTCAGCCCAAAATAATGAAATAATAATAATGTAAAAACATTTTATTGTCCGTTATGCTGAAGTTCAAGTCACTTGCCACCCCAACAAAATGACCTCCGTGGTGATTCTGAATGTTTTCCTGTGGGAAGTTATTGCCTTTTTGTTCCTACGCTGCATGTAGGTCATGTTGTTACAATGTCAGCCCCTTTTAAACCATCCTCTCCAGTCAAAGAGGCTCTGTGTGTTTGTGTGTGAGAGAGTGTGTGTGTCTGTTTGCACCTCTGTGTTGGCCTTATTGTCATGGCCTAATATATTACTCTGCATTTAGTGCATTCACCCAGACAGCTCGTCATGGTAACCGAGTGTCTTGAGCACGTGTGTAAGTAGGAGCCGGACAAAACAACATGTAAAAACAGGGGCCCCCTGGTTGGTTGATAACGACTCTCTGTGTAACAGCAATGAATGACAATTCCTGAATTCTACTCGTCTTAAAAGACGAGTAGAATTCACTGTATTTCAACACAGATCTTATTAAAATATTATTTTCAATCAACTATTATGATCGCCAGCTTCAGTTGAGTTGACAAACTTAGCATTGTAAGGCAGATTCCCAGGGCAATCTATAATCTTCAAAATCCAGGATGAAGCTCAAGGTCCATTTAATAGCTGCTCTCAAGCTTTTGATGAAAATATAGATGTTTAAATTATCATTTTCTGACCACTTTTTGGCTTAAAAGTTTAGTTTCAAGGTTCATTTACAGTTGACAAAATTATGCTGTTTTGTTTTCCACACAAAAATGTGGACATTTTTGGTTGGGATGGTTTGCAGGATAGTAGTAAAGAAAAGGGCAGCACTCTATTTGAAAAGGGCTGGTGTTTGGCTTGAGGAGGTCGGGTCCAGCATGCCCACGTCTCCAACTCCTTCAAATAGAAGTTCAAGTTTCTTCTCTCATTCCTCCAAGTGTTGACAAAGGCGGTAAAACCAGCATCTTTCAGCCGGAGCCCAGTCTCAGCCTGGTGCTGTAATTAACAGAGAAAAGAAATGCAGATCGGTCCAGAAGGTTTTTTGTTTCGGACATTCCTCAATCCTTAGGACAAACTTGGACTCTGAAGTTGGTGGAGTTCTGAATATCTTATTTTACAATGCTGACAATTAGACAGCCTCTCATAAAAAAGAGGAGGAAAGAGAATGGCAGAATGATGCATTTGCATTTGAAAGAAGGCAATGCTCCAATGAAATGGCTGTGGTCTCACACTGAGCCTGAACCCACTCAGCTGGAAATTTTTGGGGAAAGGCAAGAAACTCTTTGATATTTTTCAGTTTCATTTCCTTTAGGGGTTCTTCACTGATGATTTATTTCCCTTATCATATTATATGTGGGCTTGAATGTCCGTTTTCCTCTCTGCTCATCAGTCAGTATATTTTAAATGTATGAAAATAAAAACTAAACAGATGTGTTTTAATGTTTGTAGATGGAGATGCGTTCCCAGGACCAAGCTCTGATCCGGCAGCTGATGGAGCTGCACTCCGGCATCCAGGAGTTCAAGCAGGAGCTGTCTGAGGAGGAGCAAGAGGAGGAAATAGACGAGGGGGAAGAGGTGGAGGAAGAGGAGGGAAGCTACTGGGACTGTGAGAGCGAACGAGGAAGTGGCAGCGTCTACTCCAGCTCAGGGGAGGTGGGCTTTTCCATTTCCTTCCTGAAGATGCCGCCGCCCCTTTACTCAGGGGTTTTATCGAAGAGGGTGTTCAACAGGAGAAGCTCTGTGCCCTGAGAATTAAAACTATTAGAAGAAATTCAACTTTTGAAGTCTCTCCTCCACTTCCTCATATCTTCTAAGACAGCCAACAGCAAGACAAGGTGGAGCAAGTTAAATACATTTGCAGTTTCCCACCATAAATTCTTCCCTTCCCTGTTTGTACTGACTGTAGTTGAGGAAAGATAAAAGGAAAGCATGTAAGCAGTGGTGTCATATAGGCTTATAATGGCTTTACTTTGTGGATGCAAAAGTAATTTTCACTTAAATCCTGGCACAAAACACAATATGTCAACACAATATGTCACTCTCACGGCTTCTTTAGCTTACAGTTTCCTTCTGTTAATTCTAATATCATTACAAAGATATGAAACTGTAAATTAAAATATGACCCTTTTTGACTGTTAGAGACTTCTGGAAATGCACTTCTTTTGCTTTCTTGCCGAGAGTTATGTCCAGCATTCGACTAGCTTTGCTTAGCATAAAGATTGGAAACAGAGGGAACAGCTAGCTTTACACTTCAGTTTGTACAGATGAAACAAACAAGATACAACAAATTAATTAGTGAGCTTTAGAGCTGCTGGATTTTGTTGCCAGACTAGCTGTTAAGCTAAGCTAACCAACTGGCAGCTGTAGCTTCATATACCAGACAGATATGAGAGTGGTATTAATCTATTCATCTAATTCTGACTACGCTTTTTCCAAAATGTCTTTGAGTTTGTATGTAAATTGTAAGAGAGGATAATAAAAATCTGTATTAAACACTTTCCTAAAGGCTTTGTGTGGTATTGTGTGTGTCAGAAAGTGAGAGAAAGTTTTTTGACACTGTACAAATGTTGTTTTATGTCTATTGAGTTTTGAATTTCCTGATTTATGTTAAACTCTGTAAAATGTTTGAACCTGTCAGTTATTACTCTTCACAGTGTGTGTGTGTGTGTGCGTGCGTGCGTGTGTGTGTGTGCGTGCGTGTGTGTGTGTGTGTGTGTGCGTGCGTGCGTGTGTGTGTGTGTGCGTGTGTGTGTGAGCAGCTGAAAGCTCACTGACCTTTTATGACTTGACTGATAACTGCATTCAGAATGGATTCAATGCAGCAGCAGGACAACTTGGCGTTCACTGCATCTTTATTGTGCACATAAAGCAGTATGACATTGTGTATACTTAAATATCTGTTTGAGAAAGTATTATTAGCATTTCTAAGTTAGTGCAGTGAACGAGCAAGCAAATCCTTGGTTTAAAAAGATAGCTGTGGTCAGATTGTTGGTGTATAGAAAGTATTTGTAAACTGAATAAGCTAGAAATGTTTGGAAGTGAGATGCGGATGTATTTATTAACCATATGTGAACTTCTAGCAGTATTTCACACAGGTACTGTACTGCAGTGGTACAGTATGCTAGCACAATAAAGACGTGAAATCACTGAGGGTGCACATTTTATTTTTGTCAAATTACAAAAAATGTCAACGTAAAATTGTGACAAAAGGGATTTTTACATTCATAATGCCTTGTTTCCTGAAGAAACAAAACATGTAAAAACTGCTTTCCTCAGCACAAAGTGCAATACCTAAAAAATAATGCCAGCATCACACAAATGCAACAACATTACTTCTTTCTTATTTCTCTACCGGGTTTTCTTTACACACAACTGGTGTCTATTTTTCTTTTTACCATGACACATTTTCTTACAATGAACCATTATCAAAAGCAAATGCATTCAGTCTTTTCTGTTTAAATTTTTGAGTTTTCAGTTACATCCAAGCCATTATGGGTTCCAGTAAGAGCACTTTTCCACCTGCTCTACCCCAGAGAAGGGGCTCCCTACTGGGGCCGGTTACGGCCGATCATCCCCCTCTACTTCCACTCCTCTGAAACTCTCCCTCCTTAGTCTTTGGATCTCTGTGTTGAGCCCCAGCAGGGTCTGAGCCAGCTGGAGGTCCTGTGAGCGCATCTCCAGCTGCATGACAATGAAAGAACTGAATCAGCATGTTGGAAGCTATAATGTATTAGGTGCAAAGACAAAAAGCTACTGGTCCTTTCCTCCAAATGTCCTCTCCTTTAATGACCTGACAATAGATGAATCAGAGACATTTCTGGACATGACAACTGACAGAATTTTTTGCAAACTACAGAGAAAAGATGGAGCCATCAGTTAGCTTACCAGTTCAGACCTCAGCCAGGTTATCGCTCCATCTATCTGCGCCCTCCTCAGCTCTTCATTAGCTTGATAACTCCTGCCGATGCTGACTGGTCTGACGGTGGAGCCAGAGTCTTGAGGATCTCGTCCAGACTCTCCTGTCGCCCTGAAGGCATGAATCAGTTTGTTTTTAATGTTCTCCAGAACCATGGTGGACAAAGTATCCTCACTGTGACTGTCTCGGTCCATGCTGCGAGGGTATGAAAGTGCGGGCAGGTGTACGTGTGATTCACTTGTTGCCTCCCTGGTATAAACCTTCTCATAAAACTTTGGGAATCTTCTCTGTTTCTTTGCTTCTTTTCACTCCACCAGATCTCCTCACTATGGCTATCTCTCTGTACTGGTCTTCCTCTGTCCCCTATGTGAACAGTACTCCGCAGCACAAGTCTGTGTGCTTCTGTTCAGCAGCTGCAATCATCCCTTTTGCCTGCCCAGTGTTGAACCGGCTTGTTTTGTCATTGTTACTATGGAGAAACCGCTCTCCGCCTGCATGCCCCATCTCCTCCTCCTCTTCCTCCTCCTTCTACCCCCCGCCTCCTCCTCCTTTCAGTAACCTTAATAAGAATGGTGGAAGATCTCGGACAAAGACTATTGTTGCCTCCAAAAAGAACTGAAAGGACCTCCCCAACCACCGCCACCACACCCTCCCCGTTTTTCTTCCCCCTTTCTCTCTTTCTTTTTTGCCCCCACACAATTCTAGTGTGAGAAATGTGCTGTGAGTGAGTGAGCTCTCATTTGGACAAAGTGCCAAAGAGTAAACCTGTGAGTGTGTGTGTGTGTGTGTGCCTGCATGTACAGCACACACACAAAATCCATCAATCCCCCAGCGGACTTTTTCAGTGCTTCTCCCTAAATAAGATCTGCTTGTCAGCTTAGGAGACAGACAGGTTGGGCGAGGAGGTAGACACAGCCTCAGTGTTAGCCGATTCAGACCCACAAAGGCCAACCTACAGTGAAATATAACCAGGTCCTTTGTGCCCGAGTTAAGTCCATTCCCGTGGGGTTTGTGGGATGGTTTTTGGCGACTGTGAGCAGTTTTCCCCCCTGACTTCTGTACAGAGATGAGACAGGGGTCTAGTGTATTTTCCTGCCTGACTTATGGGCCTGCCTGTGAGAATCGAGAGTCAATGCTTTCGAGTGCACAGCTTTTTTATCCCAAGGTAATTCTTTACTCTGATGAGATGTTTAGCTCGCTTTCAGTGCTATGTCATGTCATAGGAAACAAAAAGAAGTTTGTTTGTTTGTGTGTGTGTGTGTGTGTGTGTGTGTGTGTGTGTGTGTGTGTGTGTGTGTGTGTGTGTGTGTGTGTGTGTGTGTGTGTGAGAGAGAGAGAGTGTTGGCAAGACCTTGTGATGTCCAACACCCTATTAAAACACTCTCAGCCAAGTTCTGCTCCATACATTGACCATTAAATAAATGTCATACAGTAATCTTTCAAGACAGATGGATGAGCGCGCTGGAGAGAGAGGGCACTTGTCAGAGCTCGTAAGACATGAGCTATGACTCCATTTGTGCAGAGGTCCGTGGAGCGTGAGAAGAGGTTGGAGGGATTGGGCCGTCAGTCTTGAAGGTCAAGGAAGCAGGGTGACGCATGACGGCGATGTCAGGGACAAACAAGCTGCCAAATACACAAGCTGAGTCTCAGGTGGTGGATTAGAGCAGCGTGTGTATCCTTATGTGGCTAAACAAACCCTGTCTCCTAGAAAGTAAGTTTGATTTTACTAAATAGTTTTCTGGGGTTCTTCTTTCTGGCAACAATTGTGCTTTGTTTGTGCTTGGGAATAGTGTGTTTTGTTTTCTATGTGTTTGGGGTTTTCTCTCTTTTTCTCTGCTTTGTGTGTGTCTATTGACGTCTGTGTATGTGGGCGTGGTCTACTGTGGTAACAGTTCATCAGCCTACTTCTTTCTATTGAGCTACTTGTGTCTTCTTTGGATCTACATCTAATACCTTGTGTCTTTCCCCTGGTGCCGAGTGCCTCCACACTCTGCCAGCCATGCCACTCGGCCTCACTCTACAGCCACACTCAAGAAGCCACAGCATGCCAGCTGACATCTCCATTACTCCACCATACACTCCACTCCTCTTCGACCACACTACCCCTGCAAAGATCAGTTTGTTATTAAACAATTTTTGTTACACCTTGACATTGAGTCTCTCTCTCTGCTCTTGGGTCGATCCACCACAATACAGTTAGGGGGAGACTGTGGTTTTGGTTAAATAATCATGATTGTGTCATTTTCTGTATAAAACTTGACCATGATCCATAACCTTAACATAGTGCTGCTGAAACATGTGTAGGGAAAACCATAATAATAATAACAGAGCAGCACATTTCATAGAAATGAATCATTCAGTCTCTTCCCTGAAAATTAAGAAGGTGTTTCTGCCAAAGAGAGGAAGATTTGGAGAAATTACTTCTGAAGAGAGAGAAATTCTGGATTTCTTTCTTGTTGAATGAGGAAAACAGACTTGTAGAGTCTGTTTGTTTGCAAATAACAGGATTATTTACAGAACAATTGGAAACTGACTTAATGGAATGATGTGTTAAGTTCAAATGCACTGAAATTATTTATGGTTATTCATGAATGTTAAGTGATGGAAGTTATTCGAATGCACTGTATTTAGAAAGATTAGTCTGATAACAAAAGAATGGTAAATTTGTTTTACTGATATTGAAAAAAAGGGATATTTCACCTTTTAATTACTGATATGTTGAGATGAAAAAGTATATTTGCTAAAGAATATTGTAAAAAGATGATTGTAATGATATTTCTCTTGCAATTTTTTTTATCAACTAAGAGTAATGATATTTTGATAATATTTTTGAAGAGAAGGATGATTGTGCATGTTTTATACATGTATGGTGATTTATATAAAGCATGGTGTGCCAGAAAACAGTTCTGTGATATGTTTTTATTTTGAGGAGTGTCTAAACATGATCATTAAAATGTTTAATAATGCTTTAGTCACTACATTTTCCTCATTATGTTAATAGAAAATATAATCTGAGCGTTGCAAATCATATTTGCTGTTGCAAATTAGCTGAATATAAACGTCACTTCTAGGAGGCAGGGTTGGACTTAAACGTGCAGCAGTGGAGGTATGAATTTATGTGTATGTTTATAACTGGGCAGGTTATAGAAACACCACTGACTGATTTATCTCTAACCAGAGGTGGGACAAGTCACATGTTAATGCTCAAGTCTTCGCGATGAAGTCCCACGTCAAGGCCCAAGTTAACATGGGCAGGTCTCAAGCAGTCCAGTACTTCTATTCAAGTCTTATGAGTGTTAATCCTCCACAGTCTGGTGATTTTTTTCTCCAGTGAAGCGCCTCCACTTCCCCATTTTGCCCCTGACATTTTGTATGACTTTCAACTGAGTGCAATGCTGATGGGATCATTTGTGTTATCTGAAGGGTTTGTTACCTTTTAGCCTACTTTGCTACCCCCTGGTGGTACTTTTATCTGTCTGCAGACTGTCACAGGAAAAGTCTAGCAGTGCATGTCGTGTGCAATCATTTTGGGAGAACAAATTATGTCTACATTACTCTTCCAGAGTGGAGCTAAAGAGCTGTCTTTGTAGACTTGCTTTCTAACACCCTCAAATTTTTATTCCCTGTCTAAAAACAGCTGTAGAGAGTTCAGGATTAACTTTAAACTGAAACTGGAACAGTGGTGAAATGTACCCAAGTAGTCTACTTTATTTAAGTACAAAAGTGAGGTACTTGTACTTTACTTTTAGCATTTTCTTCTCATGCCACTTTCTACTTCTATTCCACTACTGTTCAGAGGCAAACATTTTACCTTTTACTTCATTATAATTAATTGACAGCTTCAGTTACTTTACAAATCAGGGTTTTTGCACACAAAAATGAAAATGTAGAGATGCAACAACTAGTTTATTTATAGATTGACTGAAAATTAATAATCATTGATAATCATTCATCTTAATTATTTTTCATTTCCTGATTCTGAAATCATTACTGGCAGTCCTATACAAAATATATAAATGTAATATTAAATAAAAACATCAAATACCTACAAATCAAAAATAAAATCTTGCTTTTACATTAATGCATGAGTAATAATAATGTAATGATGTAATAAATAATAGTATAACTATTACTAGTATTAGTACTTTTCTTAAGTAGGGGTCTGACAGTTCCTCCACCACTGAGAGCAGATGTGCTTTAAGGGCCTGCAATGCTCAGTCCTCTGTCAGCTAAGCTGGTTCAGGGTCACATAAGCAACTTACTGTTCTTTGTGCTGTCATGCTCCTGGCAATAGTGTATATTTCAGGACAAACCTTTTGCATAGAACTTTTGAATAGAACTAAAGTGCTCCGTGTTTGTATAGCGCCTCTCTAGTCTTTGCGACCACTCAAAGCACTGCTACACTACAACACATTCACAATTCACACACATTCATACACTGAGCCTAAGTGCTCAAACAGAAACTAACATTCAAACACATTCATACACTGGTGGAACAGCCACTTGCCCAAGGACACTTCGACATGCCTGGAGGAGCTGGGGATTGAACCGCCGACATGTAGGGCCTAACAAGATGAACTAATGATGAAACTAATCTAAATAATTTAAATGATGTTAAATTGATTAAAAGACCTTCTACCCCACTACATTACAAAAAACCTAGCCCAATATTTATGTAGCATATTTTCAATGTATGTATTTAACAGTTATATTTGATTACTTTGCAGATTCATATTTTAAATACAAAACATATGCTCAGCTTTTAAGATATGATCCATTGCTATAAATTAGACATAAATTGCTTCACCTCCACTGGCTAACCTACAGTGTTAAAATAAGTAGCTGTATATAATATATCACTATGAAAAGCCTCATTCTGCATGAGTACTTCTAATTTGTTGTACTAATACGCTAACAATGTGGAGATGGGAGAAGGATTTTAGTAATGTGGCACCTTTGGCTCAGCATCCATCCCTCTCTCCCACATCAGCACCACTCTGCATCCAATCAGCCCGGCGTGGGGAGGGGGGACGCCATCTTGTTTGTTTTAGTCGGAAGGAGGGGTGGAAGAACAGCCACCACCAGCAGCGACACCACGGACGACAAAAAAAAAAAAAACGAGACAAGCACGACACGGCTAACCGGTGAGTCATTTAGGTTTGTGTTTTGTGTGAAGTTGTGTAGCACTAAAACACTCGCTAGCTTCGCGGTGCTCAGGTTTTGAATGACAGTGGCTAACGCGGTAGCTTGTCCGCATCATCACCTGTTGTGAGCATCAGCGGTTAATGCGGTGTAACGTTAGTGTAACTGTAACCTGTAAGATCTAACGCTGGTCTCTTTTCTGTTAACGATACATGTCTGCTTTTCCAAAATGCTGGGCGCTTACCTTTGTATAAGGTTACTGGCTCATTGTGTTTTGCAGCTGGCCTGTCTAACGTTACGTTTGGTGTAGCAGGTACAATATAGTGCTGCAGGTAACATTTTTACTTCATTACCTGACAGACACAGATTGTCAAGGGTTCAAGCATGTTTATTCACCACCTTAAGACCACGGGATGTACAGTTAAATGTAAAGTGACAAGCATCCAGTGGGGGAAGAGGTACTTGTATTTAAAAGTACGAAAGTATTAGCATCAATAGGTACTTAAAAGTAAAAGGTATGCAGAATGGACAATTTCAGAATCATGTATTGAATTGTAATTACTGATGCATTAAGGGCAAAATAAATTAAATAAAAAGTATAATGTTAATAGGGTAGTATACTGTTAGTATAATATTAATATATTAATTATAAGTTGTTACTATATTCATTATAATTTCAAAATAGCATATAGCTTACTAGGATGTTATTAATTCCAGTTGGACAATACAGCAGTTTAATTTTTGTGTGGTGTTTTTATTCATTAATTCATTGTGTAAGAAAAATGGTCTACATTGGTGGTTTCGGTAGGTTGTAATCTTTGCTTGCACACTTTGCTTGTAAATTATTTTGATGGCTGAGGGTAATCAAAGAGTCTTTGTGTGCTGGTTTTGAGACAGTGGAGGGGCTTGCCAAACTGCAGCACTGTTGCTATTAGGTCTGCAACTAATGCATTGTCAATTAATCCGTCGATATCTTTTTGATTAATTGATTACACTCTGATCATGTCATGGTCCACCTGATTTCCTGCTTACAGACAGAAATTAAAACTCTGTAAACCTGTAGTGAGGACATCAAAGAAATGGACCAGTGAAGCTGTAGAGGATCTTGGTTGGACTGCACTGACTGGGATGTTTTCTGTTGGGGTATGGACAGAATGGACCCAAATGCAATGCTGAAGATTAACAGGTTTTATTAGGGGAGTTGCAGGGGTTGAGGGACTGGAGTTGAGGGGAGAGGTGGATGCCGGGGAGATGCAGGCATGGGGAACCGAGGAGACGGAGACCAGAGAGCCAGGGGACACTGGGAGGACGCCGTGGGGGAAGTCCGAGGGGAGAGGGCAGGTGAGACAGACAGACAAACAGGATTAGTGACTCTGGAAAAACCAAGAACAGGGAAACAGATCATGCAGGTTACGCGAGAGCTTGAGGGATCAAGAAGCACCGGGTTAGGAGCAACAACAATCAAGCAGCGATGGAGTGGAGAACCCAGGTAGAAGTACTGTGGGAGATGAGGCTGATTGCTGGCAGGTGTGGCAGGCAGAGGAGGTGGCTGACAAGGTGCAGGTGCGGGTCGTTAGCTGGGCTCAGGAGCGGAGGGAGAGAGAGAGAGAGCACACACGGGGGAGGAGACACAGGGAGGCAGGCAGAGAACAGAGAAAAAACAGGGAAAAAACAGAATCACAGACAAAAAAAGGGGAAATAACCAGGACACTCATCAGCCGGGCTGCCACCACAACAGTTTTCAGGACTGCTACCAACAATCTGAGTTTACAGAGGCTGTGACATCCTACATCATCTTCTGTGAGGACAGCTGCATTCCAACATGCACCAGGGTGAGTTATAACAATGACAAACCCTGGTTCACAGCTAAGCTCAGACAGCTGAGGTTGGAAAAGGAAGAGGCGTTTAGGAGTGGACATGTTTAAGGAGTCAAAGTACAGGTTTAGCAGGGCGGTGCGAGATGCTAAACAGCTGTATGCAGCGGGACTACAACACCAGTTCTCAAGGAATGACACTGCTTCTGTGCTTATCAGCTGTCTCTGATGTTCACAGACATTTTTAACACCTCACTGGAGACATGCCATGTGCCAGCCTGCTTCAAAGCCTCCACCATCATCCCAGTCCCCAAAAAACCAAGGACCACGGGACTAAACGACTACAGACCCGTCGCATTGACCTCTGTGGTAATGAAGTCTTTCAAGCGCCTTGTGTTGTCCCACCTAAAATCCATCACAGACCCACTCCTGGACCCCCTGCAGTTCGCCTACAGAGCCAACAGGTCTGTAGATGATGCAGTAAACATCGCCCTTCATTACATCCTCCAGCACCTGGACTCCCCAGGAACCTACGCCAGCGACACCACCCTCATTGGGCTCATCTCAGGTGGGATTGAGTCCTCCTACAGGTGGGAGATTGACCATCTCATAACCTGGTGCGGCTAGAACAGTCTGGAGCTCAACGCTCTGAAGACCATGGAGATGGTCATGAGTGACTCCCCCGTCGCCACTGTGGACTCCTTCCGCTTCCTGGGCATCATCATCTCCCAGGACCTCAAGTGGGAGCTGAACATCACCTCCCTCACCAAGAAGGCCCAGCAGAGGATGCACTTCCTGCGGCAGCTGAAGAAGTTCAGCCTGCCAAAGACAATGATGGTGCACTTCTACACCGCCATCACTGAGTCCATCCTCACCTCCTCCATCACCATCTGGTACGCTGCTGCCGCTGCCAGGGACAAGGGCAGGCTGCAGTGCATCATTCGCTCTGCAGAGAAGGTGATTGGCTGCAATCTTCCATCACTTCACGACCTGTACGCCTCCAGGACTCTGAGACAAGCAGGAAAGATTGCAGCTGACGCCTCCCATACCGGTCACAAATTGTTTCAGACTCTCCCCTCTGGCAAGAGGCTGTGGTCCATCAGGACCAAAACCTCTCGCCACAAAAACAGCTTCTCCCCGTCTGCAGCTGGACTCATCAACAAGGCCCGGGCCCCCCACTGACACTCCACCCCCCCACCCCCATTCAAATAATACAATCGTCTTTGCACATGTAAATATCACTTCATGTCATATCATGCACGAACCTGGCACATTGCACATATTTGTTGTTGATTGTAAATTGTTGTTGTTCCATTCTTATTTTTATTTTTTTATATTGTCAGTTGTATTATTTTTCTCTATTCTTCTGTTATTCTTATATAACTTGCATTTGTTTATTACATATTTATATATTTCTGCATCTATTTATGTCAGCTGTATGTCTATCTGCGTGTAGCACCTTAACACCAAAGCAAATTCCTTGTATGTATAAAACACTACTACTCCTTCGATTCTGATTAGTTTTTAGGTGTATAAAATGTCAGAAAATGGAAAAATCATTGTTTCCTAAAACCCAAGATGGTGTCCTCAAATGTTTTGTTTTGTCCACAACCCAAAGATATTCAGTTTACTGTCATAGTAAAGAAACCAGAAAATATTCACTTTTAAGAAGCTGGAATCAGAGAAGTTTTTTAAAAATTACTTAAACAGACAAATCAGTTATCAAAATAGTTGGTGATTAATTTAGTTGACAACTAGTAATCAATTCATTGTTAGCTCTAGCTGCCATACCAGTGGCATTGTTTTTGAGAAGTCTCAATTAATCAGCTTGCACCCTGTTATGAACTGCTGTCACTTCTCCTGTTTATCTAGACAATCATGTCAGCATCTTCAAAGAGTCTGCTTGCAAAAGCTTAAACAAAACAATGAATGTGTCCTTTTTAACTGTCTTGCTGTATTTACCTATTCAGAGTTCATTCATTTCAGTCATCGGCATTATACTGTGTTTTCTCCTCTCTCCAGGCACGACGCCTCCCCCTTTCCCCTTTCCCTTGTGGTGAGAAGGCGCTGAGATGTTTTACGCCCACTTTGTCCTCAGCAAACGTGGGCCGCTGGCCAAAATCTGGCTGGCGGCCCACTGGGACAAGAAGCTGACCAAGGCCCATGTGTTTGAGTGCAATCTGGAGAGCAGCGTGGAGAGCATCATCTCACCCAAGGTAGTTTCTTAGGGTCTTATCTTTCATAGCCTCCCCCATGTCACTTTGACAGGAGATAATGATTTTAATTGTCCTTTTTTGTTGCCATGTGTTTTGTGTTGCATCTTCCTACAAGGTTCTATTTTGGGAACTGAGCTCAACACAAAATCTGATATAAAAAGTTGAGATATAACAAAGTTCTGGCTGCCTTTCTACATATAAGCTGATGTATTTACACAATTGACCACAAAATTGATCATGTTTTTTTATATCGTTACCGTTGCAAGTGAACATCATCAACAATGTATCCTATGATGTATCATCTAAATTTGACTTTTGGCATTGATAGCTCCCTGACTGTCTTTAAGTCTATCAAGGCTGCAAAGACAGTTTTATGCTAGTGCTAAAACAGAGTGATTGATTTTGTCTAATAGAAAATTATTCTCAAAAAAGTTTTTTGTGTCTGCAGGTTAAACTTAAGTATGCATTTTAACATAACTTTTCAGCTTATTGAATATTCTGTAATGAATTTAAATAACTATTAGTTGCAGCCTTAGTATCATTATTTCATTTCTGTTGTTACATGATGCTGAAACATTTTATCAATTGTAAGACTGATTTAGGATTTCAAGACTACATAACAGCAGAGGAGTAAAGTTTACGTAAAAGCTGCAGGTTTATGCTAGAGCATCACCACTGATCATCTGTGCATTTACCTTCATATCATGATTTTTTTTACAGGTGAAAATGGCTTTACGAACATCAGGGCATCTGCTGCTGGGGGTGGTGAGGATCTACCACAGGAAGGCCAAGTACTTGCTGGCAGATTGTAACGAGGCTTTCATCAAGATCAAGATGGCTTTTAGACCAGGTCGGGGACAAAATGGAACTTACTCTATAAATCCCAAAACCATCAGACTGGTTGAGACAGAGATTGGAGCTTTTCACATGTCCTTTTAAAAAAGATAATGTTCAGTTTTGTTAGTGTTATAGATTTATCTATGGCAGTACAAATTAATCAGACACTCATAAACAAACACCGGCACACAGGTCAAAAATTCTTTAATGTTTTATTTTATACTTATTTAAATCTAAAACTAGAGCATGCGGCAAGTTCTTCTGATACATCTTCTGAAATATGCACACCAACATGCAATACTTGCTGTACATACACATATATATACAGTATAAATACATATCGATTCCTTCCCCTTCCCCCTGTATACGCAAAAACATATTTCAAATGTATTCATATATTTAGTTGAAATTAATTATTGTTAAATTGTTCTCAGTTTTCTGTACTTTTTCGCCCATCTTAGGATCTTTTTTAAAACTGCTCCTATTTACATACATACATACAGTACATATTATCAAACTGAGCCAGGTTCATCCCTGTCACTTGAGATATGTCACATGCTGTAACTCCTTTCCTACACTGTGGTGTTTCAGGTGTGGTGGATCTTCCAGAGGAGAACAGAGAAGCAGCCTACAACGCGATCACGCTGCCTGAGGAGTTCCATGATTTTGATCAGCCACTACCAGACCTAGAGTGAGTCCTCTGTTGGTCTACCTCTTCCTGAGAGAGAATTGGGAAGAAAAAGTGTCATGTCAACAGGGATTTTGCAGTTTATGGTTAGCACCTTAATTGCTAGACCACTAGGGTAGCCCACAACATGTGCTACTATTGTTGACATTTTTCTTGCCCAAAAACACCAATATCTATGGACCTTCTAGTATATTTCTGCCTGTAGTGTTCATTATTCATAAATATTGTAGAGCCAAGCGTGTTTTCTTTTTTCAACTGGAAGAATCCTTTTGATAGCTCTCCACGTGCACATAACCCCTTTCTTCATTCTGGGTATGGTAGGTAAACAGTAACAAATGTTAAATGAGACAACACAGGTGAACTGAAAAGCACTTCACTACAAAATAACAGCTGGAAGACATTGAATAAGAATTGAAGTGCAGATATATTGTAGCAGCACATTTCATCTTTTCCACTGCTCGCAAAAAAAAAAAATCCATTTGAAGAGAAGTGCTGTAAACACAAGATGGGTATAGAATTGACTGCGCGGTGTGTTTTGTACAGCGATATTGACGTTGCTCAGCAGTTCAACTTGAACCAGAGCAGAGTGGAGGAGATCACCATGAGAGAGGAGGTGGGCAACCTCAACCTGCTGCAGGACAATGACTTCGGTAGGCTTCTTTCTTCTGAGTGTGCATGCTTTTGTTCAGTAATGTCATGCTTGGCGGTCACATTTGTAAACCTCTTGGACAGTTCGACCACGTGATGGACTTTTCATTGTTAGTTGACACTATAACTTCCTCCACTCAACCACATTACACACTATATACTTAGAAAGACAAGTTTCCTTTTGTCTAGCTGACTTTGGTATGGACGACCGGGAGATGATGCGGGAGGAGAGTGCCTTTGAGGTGGACATCATGGGAGCGTCAGCTTCCAACCTCCTGCTGGAGGCTGAGGGTGGAGCTAACCCGATGGCTGACAAGTCCAACCATCTGGAGTACGATGACCAGTACAAGGACGACTTCGGAGACAATCCCATGGAGAGCAATGAGGGAGGCATGCTGGGTAGGATCCTGTCAATATTAAGGTTGTGACGATCCACTTAGCTCACAGGATGAGATGATATTGGGTTCATGAGACCAAGATGAGTTATGATTTTTTTTGATCTATGACAAAAAGCACAACAATGCAGGTACATATTGAAATGTTGCTTATGTATTGTTCATGTCTTGTCTGTCACTCGGTGTTGTTTCCACCAGGTACCCAAAAAGTTGCCATACGAACAAATTAAAAGTGGCGTGGGCATCTTCTATGCTAATGTCACTCTCATTCCATCATGGTGTCGTTTTAATATCCGGTGACATGAGATCACATCCCTTGTCATATATATAGACGCTGACACTGCAGTTGAATGGTGAAATGGATGCAACACTGTTAGCATTCTGCAGCTATAAAATTTTTAATTTAAGTAAAAATGGAGATAATGAAGACCATGGCTTGGATCTGGCCACAGTTTTCATCTGATGTCAGTTTTGCGACGTGTTTAAGTACTGTATATCCTTTTAGTGGCTCAAGCGAGTCATGGCAAACTTTTAGCAGGAAACTGTGTGTGAAGGTTGTCTTCTAGCAGTAATATTTATTTTATGAACCCTTAGCCCTTTTTTAAAAAACATTTTGTGTTTTTACTGCTGAGAATGATGATAGAGTGTAGCCCCTCTCATTTAGGCTGATTGATAATTTTAGTGAATTATCTTGATTGTGATATCTCTCTGTGTAGTGGATAAGCTGCTGAGTAATGAGGACGGAGGCGGCATCTTCGACGACCCTCCTGCCATCACAGAGAGCGTGATGATGCCTCAGGACCACGGAGACGATGAGGACGACTTTGACGCTCTCTCGGGTCAGATCCACAAATAACATCAGCAGTGGACCTTGAACAGGAGTGTTTTATGCTGTGTTGCAATAGCTTTGGTTACATACAATTGAAATTACGACACAGTTACCTACGTATGTTTAATTTTGAGGCTACCTGTTTAAATAAAGTTTAATAATATCACATGACATGCATATCCAACATGGTGTGATTGTGTGTTGTTAGCGGGAGCCCCAGATAGTCCAGACTCAGGCCCAACAGAGCCCCTACCAGCCATGGCAGACCAGACAGAACAGACCACCCTGGTTCACAACGAGGAAGAAACCTTCGCCCTGGAGCCCATTGACATCACAGGTAATGCAGCTGGTTTCAAGAGACAACTCCAGCATTCCTCATTTCCTTTTAATCTTATTTTCCCTCACAACGTCATTAGTAAATACAGTTCCACATAATGGGTTTCCTTCCCTTTGCATGAAGACGATCACATTGTGATCTTGAGTTCTGAAAAGTATTTTGTTCAATTAATGAAAGCACACGAATACACCAGACCAGCAATGTTTACTCAATTTTAGTCTACGCAGGAACAATATGTTAACATAGAAGTTCTCCAAATATCAGCGCTACTGAGCTGACTCATCTCCGTCTCTCCTTGTGACCTGTGCAGTGAAGGAGACCAAGGCGAAGCGTAAGAGGAAGCTGATTGTGGACAGCGTGAAGGAGTTGGACAGTAAAACTATCCGCGCACAGCTGTCTGACTACTCTGACATTGTCACCACCCTGGACCTGGCACCTCCCACCAAGAAGCTGATGATGTGGAAGGAGACCGGAGGAGTCGAGAAGCTCTTCTCTCTCCCTGCTCAGTCTCTCTGGAATGCCAGGCTGCTTAAGGTAACGTTACCTTAGAGATGCACAGTATCCAGGGATAATCGTACAAAGTAATAAGAATGATATTACTGTTTCTTTCTGCAGGTTCTCTCTATCTGCCTCTTTGTTTTCTCTGCTGTTCTCTCTCCAGATGTTTACAAGGTGTCTGACTCCATTGGTACCAGATGAGCTCAGGAAGAGGAGGAAAGGTGGTGAGGCTGACAGTCTGGATGAGTTCCTTAAGGATCTGGAGAACCCGGAGGTGCCCAGAGAGGAAACAACAGGACACCAGCAGAGAGACATCATGGGTAAGAATGTTTGCTTGTGTGCATTTATGATTGATTTATTTGTGGAAAGCGAAAACAGAAACAGAATGGATATTAAAATGTGTATGCATTACATTTCTTCCCTAAGGCACATCCTGATTTTATCTGAGCTGCCTGTTTATTCGATTGTACTTTTCGTGTTTATCATTTATGTTTTCTTATATCCTGTATTGTTTGTCATATTCATTTATTTTTATTTTGCTAATTCTGTTTTACATTTTACATGTTATTTATCATCCACTGTGGTATTCCATGTGTGTTCTTTTGTGAGGCACTTGTAAATAAAGTTGATTTATTATGTATTTATTATAATAGAATAGTCATGTGTACGGATTGCATACAGAATTGAAGTAAAAATTGTGAGCGCATATTTGTGGCTGTCCAACATTTTTAAAGGAGAATTATTACCTGACCTTGATTAATTGTTTCTCCATTAAGTGGGAATATTTCGAGAGAAAAGAGGATGTGTGATTTCAGATGCCCACAGATTCTCAGTGACGATGAACTGAAAAATTCAGTGGTCTTAGTTCAAAATTTAAATATTTTGCCCACTTTAGTTTTTCTAACAAATACAGGATGTCCATTTCCCCTTCAGACCAGACCATCATGGAAGAGGCCAGTGTTCTGCAGACTTCAGCTGTGGAAGGCAGCAGGACGACGCTGGACGAGTCGGTCATGCCCCCTCCGTCCTCCCAGCGTGCCCTCAAACGCAAAGCCCAGGACACAGAACCAGCGCTGCCTGTAAGTACAGATACCCCCTTTAGTAGTAGTCTCTGTCAATCGCCCCACACCCTTTTCCATATTTGATGTCAGGACTCTAATGACTTCCTTCTGTTACTCTGCTCTGCTCCCTGTCTTCTTTACCAACTCCACTAACTACCCACGATTTTTGTATCTGCTTACACTCTTTTCTCCAGATGGGAGCTTTAGATCAACAACAACAGCCAGAGGAGTCCAGAGCCTCTAATGTGTCTCAGCAGCTGGAGGCATCCAACGTGGATCTGCTCCCAGAGGAAACCACTAACATCAGCCAGCTGATAGAGTTAGACCTGCTTAGCGACAGGGACAAGAAGAAAAATGATGACGACTCTGACGAAGAGGTATGATCCACAAATATTTTCACTGTATACTTGGATGTGTGTGATTTTATTTGACGTTATTTTATTGTTTTCTTCACACCCCTCTTTATGTATTAATTCGTGGGTGAGTTAACAGAGCATAGAAACCGACTCATTTTATCCAGGACTTGACAGTAGGTATCCTTTATTAGTGTTTGTAACTGTGTTTCTCTCTGTCAGGATGACGAGGTGCAGGGAGGAGACCAGGACCAGGAGGAGAGGAGGTGGAACAAAAGAACCCAGCAGATGCTTCATGGCCTCCAGGTGTGTATATCTGCTGCTACAGCTTAGAGGAGTTTTTAACTACTTTTCTAAGTAGAAACACTTCACGCAGATGAGACCCTGTTCTCCACCTTGCTCACACATCTATATACAGATGTTTTGGGGGTTATTTTGTAAATGAAAGAAATGTTCTTTGTGGAAAATATAACAAACATGAGAGAAAAAAGAAACAAACAAAACTTGCATATATAATCTATATTTAAAAAAAAAAAAACTAAACTAAAACAAATTAATTTAAAAGAGCTTACTACTTATCTGGTCAGTGATAAGGCACTTTTGTGGTTCTACATATGTCTTAAAGAGTGCAAGAGACACTGGATTTCTGTATCTGGTACAGCATTTGCGCCAGAAGCAGAGATATGTTACATAACTTTCCCTTTTACAGTTTTAGCTTATCATCTGCTGCTTAAAGTGAGAGCAACATGTAAGGAACAATACATGCATTATAGCCCTCTGTCAGTAGATTTACCAAAGTACGCTGCTTTAATGACTTTAAAATATGGTTTTGAATAAAGATGTAAAATGTTATAGCCTTCTCTTCCTGACTCTTTCTCTCCCACCTTTCCAGAGGGTGATGGCAAAGACCGGTGCCCAGTCGGTCAGCCTGCTGGATCTATGCAGGAACAACAACAAGAAGCAGGCAGCTGCTAAGTTCTACAGTTTCCTGGTTCTGAAGAAGCAGCAGGCGGTGGAGCTTGTCCAGGAGGAGCCGTACAGCGACATCATAGCTACACCTGGACCTCGCTTCCACATCATCTAGAAAATGCAACTTTATAGTTTGAAAAGAGGGAAAAAAAACTGTTCTCTGTACTCTCTGCATCACAACACAACACTGTTAATTTAACAGTTTAATTTATTAGAGTTTTTGTATGATTTGTATTTTTATCTTCCGTCGACAAACGTTTAATGTCAGTGGTGGGAGGAATGAGTATAACATGGTTGGATTATTAAGATGTTTCTTCCTTGAAAAATTCCACATAGTGAGGAGGAGGATTGCAACTCCAAACAAAGGACACTATCTACAATCAATTTATTATTATTTATTGTATTTTTATTAAATTAAGACCCACTTTATTAAGTTAGTATTAAGTAATGTGAAAGAAAGCTGTGTGTCCCTTTTTGTTTGGAGCTGGTTCTCATTTTTGCAAACAGATGTCACTGACCTTGACAAGCACTACTTCCTCCAAAAGGTTGTTGCGTTGCACTGGCAAGGCACATAATTTAAAGCAGTGGTTCTCAAAGTGGGGTCCAAAAAGGGGAATCATTTATTTTCACTGTAAGTCCATCCATAAGTAACATAGTGACCGAACGTATGACTATTATGGTCATGGATTTCATACACTTCCTGGAATAAAACGTCCAAAAAAGCCAAAATCCTATCAAATGGGCGATCCTGTTACAAAATCTTATCTGATCTAATTTGTGTCAGTTTAGGGGTCCTAGACGTGAAAAAGTTTTAGAACCACTGATTTAAAGGGTGTCTATTGCCTAGTTATGTTTACAGTGGGAGACAACTGTGTGCGTACACAGTGATAACTCAATCAATCCATGTTACTTGGAGACTCATTTGTCCCTCTACTATAGGAAAAGGTTCTCATGTACACTGATTTTCACTTAAAGGAGCATGCACTATATCCAGTCTCTGCAAGAGAACATTTAAACAGTTACTACAGTAGTGATTTTTAGACTCAACCAGCAATTAATCATGATACAACTGTAGTGCAGCACTTTAAGCATTACAAACTAAAGGTTGTGTTTTTGCAAATGCTTTGCTTGCATCATCAACTATTGTGCCTCACAAGAGTCAGCAAAATTATAGTTGTGTCCCAAAATCCAAGATACATATTCATTTTTCGTTTTGAGTATGCTGTTGTATTCTATTCTCCTGCAATGCACAAAGGAAATAGAGGAGAAGCTTACAGCTGGGGAAAAAAAGAAAATTGTGGATGCTGGTGAAACGGCTCCAGGAACACCTTAAAACACCTGAAAAATGGACATTTTGCTGGCTCTTTGTTAAGTTGAACTGACAGTAGCATTCAAAAGCTAACATATGACAACACACTTATTGTATCCTTTATATGGTGATGCATGCAACGGATAAAAATTATACTATAAAGATTAGTGTAAAGTACATCTTGTATATAATTAAATGTACTATGGAAATGGGACACAGCTTATAAAAAAAGAGCTTCAGTTTCAACCTATAGATGATGTGAACATCAGTGGCCTGCCATACTTGCATGCTCTGTCCTGAAATGTTTTATCAGAGCGGAATTCCTCCAGAAACCATTTGTATTGCTTTTATTCTTAAAATGACTTATGTGACAAAGATTCAATTTATCGTGTCCGTTTTATATATGAATAATCATTTAGTAACAACTGGGTGACATACAGTATTACAGACTGTTCCCTTGACAATGGATATTTCACTTGTTGTGCTCTCACAGTATCACTTCTTAACTTAAAATGTAAATCAGATACTCTGTTCAGTATTCATTTATTGATTTTAATCTAAAGAATGACATGATAAAATGATCAAGTGAAGTCTGTATGGACATATTTGTTATGAACATTGTTGTCATCATCGAAAAGCCTACAGTAAGAACAATCACGCTTCTTTGTGCTTCTGCAAAGACAGCTGAATGCATAGTTTTTTATACCCACTTCCATACAAACAGCAGTGGATCTTGTATTTTAAACTACGTGCCTGTAAACTTGCATTTTTTATTTTGTATAAAAGCCGAAAAAATGTTCTCATATCTCAAATATATTGCTGTTTCTGAACAGTTTCAGTCCCATGCCTGTTAAGTCCTGAATCCTGGAAACTGGTTGCAAAATTTTTCAAAATAAAACAAATACAATGACCAGTATTTTAAAATGGCATTTTGTGATTTACACAAAGAGAAGTATGTGAAGACTGTAATTATTTTTGTAATATTTATGCGAGAAACAAAACGGCTGAAGTCTCTGTCTGTCTGTCTGTCCTGCCGTACTATGTATTAGTAACCGCCGTAGCAGACGTGCTGTCTCCCTCCGTCCTTCGTTTCCTGCTTCGACTTCTTTTCCTCTTCTCCCCTTGCTCCGTCTTCTTCAGCGGCGGTGTCGGCACACCTTTCTTCTTCTTCTTCATGCAGCTCAAAGGGTTTGGGTTGCTCTGTTTCCTCTTCCTCTTCTTCCCTCGCCTCTCTCCGTCCTTCTGGGCGATGCCCTGGTCCTCCTTCAGGCTGCGGATGCTCTGCTGCTGTGTCGGGCTGACCAGCTCTCCCAGCTGGACAGCCTGGACGTGGTCGAGGGACGTCTGGCAGGGCTTGTCCAGCACGATGGTGTTGAGGATGATGTAGAGCAGAGGTACGCCCGGAATCTTCTTCAGACCTGCCGTTACCGTGTGGTCCTGGAGAACACACACATACACCAGTAGATTAGTGTGATGGGATGCCAAATGCCTAATTTAGTTTGTCCTAAGGAACATCTCTTCCTGATTATGTCACAATTCTTTTCATTATATTTGATTGGCTTAATCTCTGAGATATACATATGGGACTCTTCATGTATGCTTTATTAAGGGAAACACATGCTACAAAAGTCAAAATTACGTCCAAAAAAAATGACACGCTGAGACCGTTAAACAAGGTGTCTGACAACATCATGGAAAGGATCCCTATGAATCTCTCCCGGCTCAAGGACAGTTCTCGCTCTGAAATCTCGCGAGAGGCGAGTTGTTGCAGGAAGACGTCAATGGAAATGTGAGTCAGAGTTGGAGAGAGGAGTTTGTTGTGTTGGAGTAACGTTATAAAATAGTCTTGTTAGCAGCTCCTCTTTGTACACAACAAACTCCTCTCCTTCATTTCCACTGGCATCTTCCTGCCACAACTTGCGTCGCATGAGATTTTAGAGCAAGAAGTGTCCTTGAGCAAGACTTCTGCTTCCTGTTAAAAACAAAGGGTGTCACTGGGATGATTTTCATGATGTCAGTCTGAGCCTTTCATTGGGAGAAGAAGCACTTTTCGTGGACATAATTTTGACAGACTCAATTGCCCCGAAGGAATCCTACTAGTCCTTTCGACACCAAAATATGTGAAAATATGGCTCAGGTTTAAAAATACAGAAATAATCCTTTAAGTACACCTAGTTAAATTATGTAATTACGACATCCCTGAAATAAAGCTTACCTTCATTAGGGTTAAAATATTCAGTGCAATATTCATTGTTGCTGAAACATAACTTCACATTATAAGCTTCAGGAACATAGGATTTATAACAGGGCTGTAGTATTTGGTCAATGTTTTGCACTGTACAGCTATTTTTATTTTTTAAACATCTTTTACACTTTTACACATGTTTCATATAGTATGTTTTTATTGGAAACTTCTATTTTATTTACAATTCTTGACTTTTGCAGTCTTTTTTTCTTATGTTAAGCAACAAAATACCAAGGCAAATTCTTTGTATTAGCAATAAACCATATTCTAATTAGGCTGCATTAGTTTTAGCTAGATGCACCTAATAAATTGAGTGCATGTTACAAGTGTTGAGCCAATATCTATTGTCTAGATGCCTACTCAATGTCTAGTCCATTCCCAGTTAGTATTTTTCATTTAATTTCTCCTGTGGGCGATGTGTGTGTGTGTCTTTATTTACCTGTGTGGCAACAAAGTAGTGGTGTGGGTTTGTCTCCTCCAGCATGGACAGCAGACACTCTGAAGCGGGGACAGGGGCCTTGAAATGTGGACATCTCCTCACCTGGAACCTCTGCAGGATGATTTTGGCTCCATACAACTCTTTTCCCAGAGTCTCCAGTTCTTTCAGTGCACAGCTGAGAATAAACACAGACAGAGACAGACTCGGGTAAATACTGCGATATTACATGACACAAGATGTTTAACGTGCACATACAATAGAATAAGCAGTTCCATCTACTCACTTAGTAGTGCAGAGCTGCACCTCTCCCATCAGGTATTTGGGCATCTGCTCTTTGATCTGAATCTTGTTTTTCAAAGCCGCCTGACAAAAAGTCCCATCAATGAGGATCTGAAAGGGTTCCCTGAAGCCAAAGTTGTATTTGTAGAAACTTATGGTTTTCTTGGCTTGTTTCTGTCTCTTGATCTTCATGGTGGCTGGTAGGTAAAGTCAATAATACGGCTATCAGAAAACAACCGTTAGCGACGTGAAGACGTTTAAATGTCCGTTTTATCTTCCAGTTAAATCAGTTTACTCGTTTTGTAGACGTCTTTCAAACAAATGTTCAAATTATATCACTATCAGATACTAAAGGCATGGACATTCCTAGTGTACACAACACGCTTGCAGCGCCGACTTCTCGTGACTCCGGATGGAAACAAAATAGACGACGATGGTTCCGGATATTGACTGTCCGATACAAAATACTATTTTGATTTTTTAAAAATGTTTATGTATGTGTGTTTTCATCTTTCTCAATTAACTAGGCTATAAAATTTAAACAAAGTTAAGGTAAGGAAATTATGATAAATTAGAATTGTGAGTAAATAGTAGCTACATGCATGCCAATTAATATCTCATAATTTGGCTTTGTAAGTCACAACTTAGACTTATTATCTCAGAACTCTTATTTACTATAATATGTCATTATTTTGAGTTTAAAAAGTCAATAATATGACTTTGAATTTAAGTAGCCTTCAGATACAACACACACGCACACGTTTGGTTAGGATAGCTTAAACCATAGGCTTAAACTCTGTTGTTTCCAAAGGGAAATTTGGCTTGGATTTAAACACATCCCGAGTTTTTTTAGGAGCACAGTTGAAGCACAATATCAGTTGGCATGATGTTGGTCTTAAAGTATAGGTTCTATCTTAAAATAGTTGTCAGGTGCCCACTATAACATGAAAGAGGATTTGCTTGCTGTAATATTTTCTTCTGTTCATAATCCACAGTCATTGTTCCTTGCAAAAAATACACTCCACAGTGTGGAGCTGAGGATTCAGCAGTATGACTTAATCAAATCAAGCAGATATCGTTTTAGACACTGATTTGGGTAAGGATCTCTTTATAAATTATTTCAAACAAAAGCTGTTTCAATGTTCATATGGGCACATGACTATTACATAGTCATGTTTTAAGACATACAATTGTGAATATATCCTTTAAGGTGGGGTCTACCACCACTTTATTACCTTGATCCAAATACCCTGTTTTAAGGGTGTCCTTGTGTCAAATATCTACCTTTAAGACTTTAATTATTTCAAACCTGCTTATATGTCTGTTCCTGAATAATTGCATTGATTGTCATATTGAACGATATTCTCTCTCTTTCTCTCTCTCTTTTCCTACAGGGGATATCAGAGTATGACCATATACTGTATTTGTAAGGAGGACTTCATTTTGTTTAATTAAATTGTTTAGTTTAATTTAATGACGCTGGTGTTTGAATGGCTGAACAGTTTTACTGTGGAATGTTTCTGTGTTTGTTTTTTTTGTTTTTTAAATCTATGGTTTTATTTCCTCTATTTCGATGATCGGTTTTGGTTGAATAACGTGGGAGCAGGTTATTTTCTCCGCGCCCCTCCCCTCTGTTTTTCCCGGAACCGGAAGTCTTCATTCAGGTAGAGCTACGGCAGCAGAGCAGCCTCGACGGTGACACACTTGTCGTCGCCTCTGACTTCACAGCTAACGTTCGCTCGGGTCGAGCCGGTGTGGGTTGGGTCGGTACTTTACCTTCCTTATACTTGTACAGTTAATATTATGGCGGCCGCGGATCCCCGGTCCTCGAGTGACGGCGGGCCGGCCAGCAGAGGAGGATTCCCTGCCGGGGAGAACGGCAACGACCGCGACGGACCTGGCGGCAGCAGCAGCGGCGGCGCCAGCGGCGAGGGCGAACGGGAGCGGGACCGGGCCACCTTCGAGTGCAACATTTGTTTGGACACTGCCAGGGACGCTGTCATCAGTATGTGCGGCCACTTGTTCTGGTATGAGACGACGCGGGGAAGGGGGGTAGTCTTGTTGTTGTTGTTGTTGTTGTTTATGTTTCCGTTCAGCCCGCTGGGCTGGAGTGTAGTTTTGCCGTCTGTGCGGCCCAGTTTCACTTGTTTCACGCCGAAATCACGCACAACACCGCGTGTTTACCCGTCGTTTGTCTCCGCGTTTTGTAGGAGATGACAGCGGCCAAGATGGCTAGCTAGATATTAGACTACTGAGGAGGGTGTTGGTTTGATATCAGTACAGTAGTTATAAAGGACGTGTGGCTGAACTTCTTCCCTCATTGAAGTGCAAGTGCTTCTGATGATGAATGCTGGTTTGCACGTGTGATCTGGTGAGGAATGAAGTGGCCCAGGCAGTTGATATCATATGGTTTGAGGTCAGAGGTCACAGTTGCAGCCAGTGTGCCTCCCTGGATCACTCACCCTCTGTGACACATTAACTTTGCCTGTGTCAGTTCAAACTTCCTGGTGATAATTCACAGCTCTCAGGTGAGCAGTGGAGGTAAAACAATTAGAAGATCAGCTGATTAGTTTATAAACAGCAAATTGAATTACCTAAAAAGAAAAAGCTTCTCAAATGTGAGGATCTGCTGCTTTTCTCTGTTTTAAAATCATTGTTAAATGAATATCAGACTCCGGGATCTTGCAGTAGGCATTCGTTTAAACAATTCATCTATTTAACTGAGAAAATAATGAATATATTCATCAATAATGAAATAAATTGTAGCCCTAGTAAATCAAAATTATGAGACATAAATAAGACCTTTTGACCAGTAAACTGTCTGGGTCAGTATATCGGCACTGGTATCGGTGTATATGTCAGCCAGTAAGTAACGAGATATCGCGGTACAGAAATGCCAAACACATGTTTGAGGTAATTTAGAAACAGTAGAGTTTGTCTACCTGAGAGAAATTCATTTTTCAACCCACGTCTGCGCATATCATTAGCTTTAATCAATAATGAAAGTAGCTGTTGGCTGTAACCCTAGGTCGCGCTTCAGCTGTGATTCAAGTGTTGTCTCCAATCTTAGTTTTTAATCAACACTTGTGCAAGGCTCAACCTTCAAACCACTTTGTGTTGAAAATCTAAACATTCAGAGTGACGGTTGAGGCTCATTCATGAGTTGTGAGTGTTGACTGACGGCCGCTCGCAGGTCCGGGCTAATGTGGGATTAGAGCCAAGCGTGTAGGATTGGGGTCAAACCAATGTACCTGCCTGCCTTGTAATCAGTAGTCGAAGAACGCAGAAGAATATGTTACTTCCTTTTTATATGTTGTTGATGTACATTTTTAATTTGAACAGATGGTGATCTGAATGGGTGTGCACATGTAGTTCTGACAACAGAAACCGACGTGGAGTAGGGGATGCTCTCGCTGCCTACAAGAGATGTTTGTAAGCAGTTATCTCCTTTTCACCCTCTGCGGTAAACTCTCTCTTTTTAAACCTAAATGAAGATCGACCCGGAGGGCAGAAAGTTTTAAGAGAGGTGGACAGCAGACTATTGTGTTAACAGGCTAATGTGACTTCTTTCTGTCTCATCTACAATGAGAACGTGATTTTTAGGAACACAAGTGACATTTCTTTACTAAGCATGCAGAGCAATATGTTAGGCACGAAGGAAATGAATCATTGAATAGAATAGACTTTTATTGTCATTGCACTCATTTATGTACAACGAAATTTGTGCCCTGTCTGAATTACAAAAACGGTAATAAATACACAAATAAATACTTAAACATACACTCATGCACAGTCATCGCAAAAACAATAGATATGTGAACTAATCACATTAAAATGATAAAAGCAGTGTTGCACCGGTTGTCCTCTTGTTGCACGTAATTGCACATTGCTCAGCTTTGAATTGTTTAGATTAAGAAAATATAGATATTTTATGTTCTAGGCCTGGAAAAAAACATTTTATTATTTAAGGAAAAGAGCAGGAATCTTAATATTGTCTAATAATAATGTAATAATAAATAAATAATTTTATATTTGATCAGAGAAAGGGTGCTTTTCACCTAAGTCGCACGTGCAGTTGCCAAACAACCATGCACTGAAGATGTGTTATGGTCTGATGTAACTTAGTTTCTAGGTTACCTGTTACCCCCCCCCCATGACTCTGATCTACTGTGTAACGTGATGAAACTGTGATGATGAAACTCTCAGCAAGGAAGAAAGGTGTTGACGTCAGATCACCTGCTGCAACTTCAAATCACAGTTGCAACTTAATTGCACATTGTCTTAATTTCTAAAGAAATACATTTTAAATCACCGTCTGTCACATACATTTTGTATTTTAAATGGCTTAGCTTGAGTTAAACTCCTAACCCTGCTGCGTTTGACACAGTTTAGTGCTTTGAACCGCATTTTTTTTATTTGTGCAACGTTGCAAAAAAACTGCCTTTGTTGCCAAAATGCTTACAAATAAAATGATTGAGTCAGTACAACATACATGTTTTGTTGAATTTCACAACTATGGGCCAATATCACTTTTTTAGCATCAGAATTTTGTTTGTTTACTGATACTCGACCTGCATTTTACCCTCTCATGTGTTGAAATGTGACAGAGAAACTATTTAGGACACAGTAACAAATTCCTCATGAGCAGAGCATCCTAGACTGTGTCAGATTTTTAGTTTGACTTTTGCAACAAAAAGTAAATTGAGAAAGCACACTGTGCAAGAGAGGGACGATTTGTGTGAAAGGATACATTGATGTCACTTAAATACTTTGAGGTTAATGAGCGTGTGACATCTTTACAATCCCAGAGTGAGTCCACTTGAGCAGACTCGTTTTTGTGACAGATGCCGGCACACACAAGCTGCAAGACTGAATGAGAGAGCTCATCATGTTAGAATTATAAATGGAGAAAAGGGATATTGAAGGAAAGCAAGAGAGACAAAGGAGAAATTAGAACATTAATAAGATCCAGCAAGCCTCTGACTGGAAGGTTTAGGAAAAGAAGCCCACGTTTAAATTGGTAATAAAAATTAGACTTAAAGGCTGGCATACAAAGTGGTTTAAACCAGTGGTTCCATTTTACTTCCAGACTCCTTAAAATGAAGCAGTATGATTTTATTTTCTTGAATTATTTCTTTGGAATAATTTTTAGAGGGCTAAACATCTGGTATTCCACAAGAAATAAAGGTTGGGGGAAAAAGTCAGAAAATAATCAGCAGAATTAGTTTTTTCCTTGTCTTTCTTAACCTTTTAATTTTACGACCACTGATGATGCACTGATTTTACCAGTTATCATATACATTTACAAATTTATGCTGTTTGGGTTGTCGTTTTTACCATCTTTGCCAGATTTTTGAGAAGTGTGTGTGTGTGTGTGTGTGTGTGTGTGACAAAACAATCTCAACTCAAAGT